ATTTATGACCTTATTGTTACAATAGTTACAGAATACATTAGTTACGGGAGCTATTATACAAGGTATAAAGTATAAGAAAGTATAAAGTACAAGAAAGGGGGGGGGTCCAGCAGATGGCCTAGCGGTTATGTCATTCGACTCCCACATGGCTGACTGCGGCTCAAGTCCTGGACCTGGTGACTTTAAAAATCATGCCAGATTGTGGCAGGTGGCATGGAGGTTAAGGGCACTGGACTCCCACATGATGGACCATGGTTCGAGTACTGGACCTGGCAGCTTGTTTTCTCTGTCTCTCTCTTGCTGTGTCCCTCTCTGGTCAAATTAAAATAAGTAAATAAATAAAGTCAAATAAAATAATCTTTTAAAAAAAATCATGCTGGGTGCATGTGCATGCATACCCACAACTAGAAAGAGAATGGAGGAGCAGGGATTGAGCTGTGGCTAGTGATTTCTCACTTTCCATCTCACTGTCTCTCTCTTTCTGGCAAGTGCATGCGCCCCATGGCAAACATCTCGAAAAAAAGGGAAAAAAATTATGTTTGTTCCTGGTGTATTCTTGGCACACGTTACTCACTCTGGAAACACTAGCAGTTTAGTTGGAGCCACCTCAGGCATCCCAGGGCAGTGACCTGGGGACAGTCCCTGTCAAGGTAGGAGAAAGATTGAAAAGTCCACAGTCGCCTTCCCCCTCAAGGTCAAGGCGTGGGTCCTTCTGGCAATGGGAAAACAAAGCTGTGAGTCCAAAGCTGCTGAGGCGCTCTGGGTAGATAGGGCTGTTAGAAAGCCCGGCCATTGTCTTCTCACTCATCCACGTGCTGGCCAGCCAGAAGCCAGGGCCAGTGGTCTCCCCGGCCCAGTGCTGCTCTTCCTGAACCTAGGCAAGTCAGTTCTGTAGGCATTTCTAACAATGCAGAACCTCAGGTAAACGTCTATGGGGAAACCACAGCCATCGAGCCACTGATTTTGAGTGTGTGCGGGTGTGTCGGGGGATGGCATTTGCATCAGTCTGTTATTCATGGCTAATAGAATTATCCGAGACTGAGTGAGTTATAAAGAAGTAGAGGTTTGAGTCACCTGTGGCATGGTGGTGGTGGTGACTGGCCAACTGTGTAGTTCGGATCCCAGACCAGTGAACTCGAGAAACACATCAGACACATGTGTGTGTTCAAGATCTGAAAGAAAAAATTGAGAAGGGATTGTGGCATGACCATTCTTCGTGAAGGGCACTTTCTCATGTTCCTTCTCTTTCTCTGTCCCTCTCTGGCAAGCACCTTTAGGCAAAGCTAAAACAAGCAAAAAAAAGTAGGGGTTTACTGACTCACAGTTCCGGCGACTAGGAAATCCGCAGGCGTCACCGTGATGGGAGGCAGAACTTCCGGACAGAGAGCACCTGTGCCCACGTGACTCCTGTCTGCCTCATGCCTTCGTGCAGACACAACAGACCTCAATCACGGGGCCCCACTCTAACGGCCTTACCACACCCAAACCCCTACCTTGGGACACTGTGATGGGATGCAGTTTTCTTTTCATACTTTTCCTATATAACCAACTCCCAACATAGCAACTTTCAGGGGACATCCATCTAATCACTGCCCACTAAGACCGAATTCCAAAATGTGAACCTTTGAGGGATAAACCATCATCCAAACCATAACAGCATTCTTTGTTATATCTAAAATCATCCTTTAAGGGGCGAGGCAGGTGGAGTGGTGATTAAGGTGGCTGGATCCCACATGGCCACTGTGCAGTTCGACTCCCAGATTTAGGGGCTTGAAAAACATGCCAGGCATTTATGTGTGTGCCCCCAAAATCCCAAGGGGAGAATGGAGGAGGGACCGTGGGATGACCATTCCCCCTGGGGGATGCTTTCTCAATTTCTCTCTCTCTCTCTGGTCAGTGCGTGCATCCTCTGGCAAATTAAAAAAATAATAATAACAAGATACTTTAAAAATACATTAAAACAAACTTCTTTTCAAAGGAAATATATATATATATCTCCAGCTCTCTCCTTTGGGTCTCGATCAGATGCAGTCTTGGGAAGTGGAATGGGGGGGATAGGTCATGCCTGAAAATTTGCTTCTATTTATTGAGACCCTTGAGCCTCTAGTTGTCAAGATACACATACAGTACATTGGTAATAACACTCTTTTTCTAAATCATTAGTTTGATAAATATTTCTTAGCACCTACTATTTGCTGAGCACTATTCTAGGTATTTGCTAAATCTGGCCCCTATTCACACTAAGTGAGACTGGGCAGATAGTGGAAACGAACAATTAGGAGACACAACAGGTGTTGACTCTAGTGGCAACAAACGTGACCGGAAGTCGGCAACAGTAAATCTGACCATGGGAGTGACCCTGACATGCGAGTGTAACAGTGAAAGTGACTAATTGGGTAATAACGAGGACAACTGTGTACCAAGCAGGGGCCTGCTAAACATTGCCTTCGCTTTGTGGCAGGGAAAGTAGCTGAGTGCCAATGATGGTGAAAACGGAAAGGGCGACAGCTGGGCACGCAGGGTGCTCTACTGAGCAGAACGGTCTGAAGTCACTGCCAGTAGTTTTGTATCACACAGTGACAGTAAATATGATCAGCCTGGTGACAGCAACAGTACAAGTGGCAGTAGATTGAATTTGTGATAAAAAAAACGGTGGAGTCAGCCTGACAGTAACAACGCTCAGGACGACTGAGCGGTGACATTTGGATGAAACAGCCGCAGCCACAGAGAGGGCTCGACCTTGTGTACCGTGCTTGTGAGACTGGCAGTGACAGAGGTGGCTGCGCGTCAGCCATAGGGTGACTGCACTCGACGGTCCGGCGCTGCTGTGACCTAACTTGTCCCATACTGTCTGGATCTGCTTGAGTGAGGGTGGCAAGCTGGGAGAGGGGCTTCAACGTGGAACGCAGAACGCGTGCCCAGATACGTGAGAGGGAAAAGGAGCGAAAGAAAAGCTAGAACTCTTCTCCCCAAACCCCTCAACCCCAAAGCTAGGAGGAGAGGCGGGATCAAAATGCCTCTAGACACCGTGATTGGTCGATTCTCGGCTTGTTAGCCTATCAGGTCCGGGCGGCGCGGAGCCTTTCCACCAGTGGGAGTGCGTCTGGGGACGCGGCTCAGGTCGCCTCTCCGCCTAGCACGTGAGTGTTTTGTTTTGGAAAGTCGCAAAGAAGCCTTTTGCATCTACTTCCCTGCAGCTCTTTGAGACAAGATCCTGACCCTAGCGGTGCCCGCGCGAGCGGCGGCGGGACTCCGCCCTAACTTCCCCAAGGCGGCGTTGAGAGGGGAGGGCGCGGCCAGAGTAGGAGGTCAGGAGAGAGGCCAGCCCTAGCGGTGCCCGCGCGAGCGGGGTCGGGACTCCGCCCTAACTTCCCCAAGGCGGCGTTGAGAGGGGAGGGCGCGGCCAGAGTAGGAGGTCAGGAGAGAGGCCAGCAACCGCCCGCCCCGTTTTCCGCGCCGGCCTCAAGATGGCCGCCTTCTGGCGTCGGTGGCGCTGTTGAATGGCGAAAGCTTTATTGTTCCCTTCGGGCAGGAGTGTTCGTGTCCTCTATGGCGCTGTCAATAAAGAACGTCATTTTGAATCGGTGCTGAACAGGTAACCATAGAAACGGGGCTAGGACTCAGCGTGGAGACCCTTTTTGCAGCTGAGGCCCGAGAGGCCAGCCGCATGGGGGGGCGCACACTGACCCTTCGGCCGGGCCAACTCCGCGGGGCTCGCCTAAGTCAAGTCGCTTCGCGTTGCCCCGAGACGTGGCCCACGAGCGACGGCCCACACCCCGAGCGCAAGCTCGGCCGCCGG